GTCCAAAATTATTAAGAAATAATTCTGAATTGTGATTTTCCACGGAGCAACTTACGCTAAGAGGGCCAGTTCGTGCACAAGCTGGACTAGACTCTCGATCATGTAAACCCCGTGAGCCACGTGGTAGTTCAAGCGCACGACTCGTCGATTTTATAGCAATTGAGTCTTTACTGTCGAGTTCACCCTGGTTGTTTTTAAACGGAATATGATGGCTAAAAACATTAGATGAAACATGTTCATAACATACCAGTTTATCTAGAGTTCTGGGTGGTTCAAGTGTCACATGGTGTGAGCTCGCTGCGTCCTGGCACAAGTCATTCCCGCCTTGCCATCCCTACACTTCCGGCCTAGTTGCCAGGTTACCACGTGTAAACATCCGGTTTGTATTTGGAGGAGCACGATACGGGGGAAGCACCGACGGGTTTTGTAATTTTCCATCTACATAAAGTTTGTCAACAACCATGGACGCGCGTTTACCTTGACTCCTTGCAGAACGGAACAAAGGTGTTAGGACTTCTCGACGATAGGTACTAATCTCTTCTGGGAACTGCTCAACAATACCGTACGGCTTATTTTTTAATTTGTACCCAGAGCGTTTGACAGCATCCCTCTCGCGCGTGTATATGAATTTAGCAATAATTGGACGAGGTCTGGGTGGATTTCCCTGGTTTGGGGCACGCTTTGGGCCTAATCTGTGTACTCTCATAAATTTCATATCCTTGCTGTCGAGACCAAGCTCTTCTTGTATAAACTTGCGTACAAGAGATTCACAATTGTCACCCGAATCACCAGGGTGAGTACCTGGTTCACCCTCTGGGGCCTCTGGGATGTTTGTAAATATAAGGTTATCTCTCATGGAGCGTGACCGTTGATCGATCAGTGCTTCTCTCAATCTCATCTGTTCTGTTTTCATGTCATCTAACTTGCCAAGATCCTCTTTAACCCGTTTGACAGTCGATTCCATTTCAACCCTCGAAGTTTGCCACGAATCAAAAGTATCACTAATAAATTTAGTGCTTTTTTTCAAGTTCATGCGCCTGCTCTTTCAAGGAGTCAAAACACTGAGATTTCAGTTCCAAACCTGCAACTCTTGTTTTGATTTCATTTAGATCAGCTTCGATGCCATCGAGTTTGGACAGCTTTTTGTCATTACTTTCGAGTTTAGCTAAGATTGCTGTTAAAAGTATGCAACGAAACCGTAAAACAATTTACGGGTCACCAATTCTCTAACAATGAATGAAAAGACGCCGAAGTTCGACGACCGCCGGACTTTGCCGAATGGCAACGGAAGCCGGACACTTAAGAGAGAAGAAGAGAAGAAGAAGAAAAGAAGAAGAAAATTGTTTTATTAGAGTGTCACATGCTGCAGTACAAAATATATGGACATATAAACATTTCATTAAAAAAACCAGCACCCGGCCAGTTGGCCTACGAGACACTAATTACATAATGGTACATTTAAAATATTAAAAAAAAGAAAAGAAAAAACCAAACAAACTTAGTTGTAACTTTGTATATTACTACACCCATACACCCACATACACATCCGCATTAAAATCCCGCTCAAAGCATACAAACAGGTAAGCATACAGACAGGTAAGCATACAAGACGCTCACAGCAATCTCATGCAGAACATTCACAGCAATCTCATACAGAACACTCACAACAATCTCATACAGAACACTCACAGCAATCTCATACAGAACACTCACAACAATCTCATACAGAACCCTCGCAGCAATCTCATACAAAACACGGCAATCTCATACATGTCATACATCTATACACATATGCGTCCATATACACACAACTTAATTCATCAATCGTGTATACTAGCCTACATGTATAACCAGCATACATACTAACATACCAACCTACATACATACCTATATCCATCAAACATAAATCAATCCGTATTATACATACACAGGTCCATCCATACCTATGTCCGTTCAAACACACCTCAATCCAGATATACTAACACACATGCAACCATACATCCATACATATCTATTTCCATTCGAACACACCTCAATCCAAATATACTAACACACATACAACCATACATCCATACCTATATCCATCCATACACATATCGATCCATATATACATACACCCATACAACCATACCTATATCCATCCATTCACACCTCAGTCCATATATACATACACCCATACAACCATACAAGAGTCGTACTGAATACAATATGAACATACATTAAATACAACAGATAATATAGATGAGAGGCACTGTATACTAACATACATAAACACACCCGCCTACACACCTACGTGCATATATTAGACAATGCATAACATTATGGATGGGATAAAAAGTAATTAAAATAAAAGCTAACAGTTTATATAAAGTTTACGGCGCCTGTACATTCTGTAGACAAGGGAGGCTAGGGGTTTACTTATACATGGAGTATTCATTAAATAACAGGTCTGTTGCAGTAGAGAACAGGTCGGGAAGGAGGGCTCCAAGGAGGTAATATAATTCCATAAATCATATCTTAAATCAGAATAAAAGTTACATTCAGTGAGAAAGTGGATTTCATCTTCGATTGCTTTAGAGTCACACATTTTACATATCCTTTCTTCCAAGGGGACTGTCGGTCGTGAAAATCTACCGGTCTCTATTTCAAGAGGTAAAGTTCCTGTACGTATTTTGGCGAGTGTACTTCGATAAGATCGGTCCATTAAAAGTTGAGCATATGGTTCAGTGTTAAGCGAGCCCTTAAAGAGTCTATATGTTCTAAGTTTGTTACCGTTTATAAGCACTCGATCGTTCCACAGCTGACGTAGCCAGTCGTGGTAATCATTTGATATAAGCCAAGTCTTTATGTAGTCCATGTCAGGGGGTGTTAAATTAAATATTTCCAAAATAGGTAGTTGCCACTTGATAAGTGTAAAAACCTTATTAGTCCATGATTTACGATAATTACGTGACCATAGATGGACTTTATTACTCACTCGAATGTTGTCACAGTTTTGTAAAAATTCCAACTTTTGCTTGGTATAAGGCGAAGTCCAGCCCATATCCCCTCGAACTGACAAGTTTGGTGACTTACAGCCCACTCCGAGAAAGAATCTACATGCTCGGTTTTGTACAGCATTGATACAACTGAACTGACGTGTGCCCCACACAGCAGCTCCGTATGAGAGAATCGGTTGCACAAGGTTTTCATATAACTTATTAAATACATCGTAAGCCATTCCTCCACTGGCTTTGAATTTACACACAATCACACCTAGGGCACGATGAGCTGACTGGGGAAAAGATAAGAACCACATTATTGATATATTGATGACACGAAGCTCGCAGATGTCAATGCATGCAAGAAGCCATGCAAAACAATATACGTTTATGTATACAGCAGCTGTTCAATTTGAGAAACGCCTTTGTTCATGTTCACAATTCATGTCAAAGATTTTAGATGACGTTTCAGAATCAGTGAGGTTAATTGGGGTGTAACGTTGCACTTCTTTAGCGACGTGCTTGTACGTGTGTGTGTGAATCAGCTTGTACTAGCCCGGACTGATGTCGATTTATAGTGCTAGCTCACTGAGGTGAATCTGAAGATTGTGACAAGTTCAAATTTTGAATCTATTGTCATCACTCCACAGGTTTCTGAGTGCGGTGACAAACGTTGCCTTACTTGCAGCAATATAATTGAAGGCTGTTCAGTCCAAATTACAAAGGACACTAAATCTACCTTTAAACAAAATATGACTTGTGATACTAGAAATGATATTTACTTGATTGTTTGTAGTGGATGCAATGAAAAGTATATCGGGAAGACAGAACATAAATTAAAAAGAAGAATGAATCTTCACCGTTCACAAATAAAGCAGCCACACAACCGCACGATTCCACTCAGTGAACATTTAGATACATGTGGAAGCGGCAACATTTTTAGTTTTCCGGCTTTAACCCTCTGGATGCCGAGGTTAAAACAACACTCGTTATGGCTGGTTGCATCAGTAATAAGTACCCTGTACCCTTGATTAAGTAAAATGGTATCACCCATGTAACATGTTTATTTATTTGGCTAGCTAGTGTTGTGTCTATTTTGGGTATTTGAAGTTTAGGGGTGAAGATAAGGTTGAAGCTCATGTTCAAATATATTTATATGTTATACCATACACAAGAGAAGGAAGTATTAGTGATTGAGAACATTTGGTATATTCTTGCGCAAATCCCACAACTTGTTTAAAGGTAATGTTTGAATAAGATTTGTGATGTACCGGGAGCAGATTAAAGAAAGGGGGAGTTTTTTTAAGACAATGTTGTTGTTGTCCACTCTGCTCATTGTCTCAGCATATTGATAATCCCTCATAGCAGGGGAGTAGACCAGTCCATTCATTAATTAGGTGTGACCAGCATGGCCCAATTAATTAGTGAGTTAATTTAAACTTCTTTTTGGGAGGTCTGCATTTTGGAGGTCTACGTTATGGGAGGGAACCGGGAAAGCACACACCCTTGGCGCACACCAGAGTAGACTGGAAATCGGTTTGTGTACCAATTATTGACACTGACTCTAGACCACGTTGAAGCGTACATTCACAGCTCTTAGAAAGTTTCCTTTAATTCGGAGTTTGTTGAGCTTGTACCATAAGCAATCACGGTTAACTTTATCGAAGGCCTTTGAAATATCGATGAAACAAACAAATGTTGATTTTTTGTAGATTTTTCTATTTTCGATTGTTGAATGAAGACTGTAGATATGTTCCTGAGTGCTACGTTTACTTCGGAATCCGTTTTGTTCCTGTGCTAGAATATCGTTATGCTCTAACCATCTGCTGAGGTGAGTGTTGAGAATTTCCGAGTAAAATTTACAAGGTATGGAGATTAACGAAATTCCTCTATAACCAAGCGGATCACGGGGGTCACAGTCAGGTTTTCTGATTGGCTTAATGTCACTAGTTGACCAGATATCAGGGCAAGTTGAGTTATTAACGCAGAAGGAGAATACCTTGAAAAGCAATTCTATGCAAGTTTTATTCTTCAGAGCCTCTGCAGGCAGATGATCTGGGCCAGCAGCCTTACCACATTTCGCACGTGCAATAGCGCGCTCGACCTCGGCGAACGTGATGGGTGGATCTAGGTCACTAGTGTCGTAGGTCACCTCTTGCGTAACATTGTTGTTGTTGAGCTCGGCCTTGACCTTAAAAGAGAGTGGAGCGGTGCGGTTACTTAGACCGTGACCAGACTGGTTTAACCCAAATCTCGCAGTCGCAGTTTTTACTCCAAGCTAGCAACACCTCTCCAGCCTACCAAGCCACCCAAGCCAACCAGCCATCGAGCCAACCTCACCCAGCAAAGCCTCCCAAGCCAGCACAGTTTCACTGATAGCCAGCAAAGAAGGTAATTATCAAAACACACACCCACATTCTCTCTTAAATCTACTCACACCCAAGCCCGCAAATCCACAAAAACACTAAAAATCCTCTTAGGTAAACAATAGGATAATCCACAACCCCTAAATAACAATCTCAAAAACCTGCTCAACCAGTACTCACCACCTACTCCCTAAAAACACACCTCTCACTACCAACTCACTCCACACAAACCCACTCACCTCACCTCACTAGCCGCAAAACATGTCCGACTCCCGCAACACTACCCAGGCAGACATCTACCAAACAGAATCACCCACACCTTCGGAAGCCCACAACACTTCCGGGAGGACATCCATCCCACTCATACCTGACGGTTTGAGCTCCAAATCACCAGTAGCTTCACCCACCAAAACAGCCGAATCGCCGATCCCCACAACAAACACCAAAAAAAGGAAGCTGGACAGTTCCAACACACAACCACCACCAAACATGTCGCCCGCATCCATCATCACCAAATAGCCCTTTACTTTTGCGCTACAGGCCCCATAAACGTCCTTTCAAAATGTCTCACAGCCAATAAAGTAGGAATCTGGTTCAAACAGCACAAACTTCACTTCGACAAAATTAAAGAGGCTAACAAAGGTTTCCAAATATTTCCCAGACCAGGACTCCCTAAACGCAGCCAAAAAAATCACCCAAATCTTCCAATACACAGAAACTCATCAAACCCCAAACTGGCAGCTATTCACTAGGGGCGTAATCAGAGTAAATCCTAAAGAAAACAACGAAGACTTAGACATGTACGCACAAGACGCTAACGATAACCAAGATATGTACCCCCAACCTAAAATAACTAGCACCAGAAGAATAACTTCAAATAGAAACGGCAAAATCTCAAACACACCAATAGTCATAATCAATTTCCAAAAATCAGCTAAATACCCAGAAGCACCTAAATTCATCTCCTTCGGAACAAGCCACTAAATTAGAAGTCAAACCATTCATAAAACAAGTTAAACAATGCTCTAACTGTCTCCAATACAACCACACAGCCAATCAATGTAAATTCCAAAAAACTAAATGCAGGAAATGCGCTCAAACTGACTGCCCAGGGACATGCACACCCTGGTGCATACACTGTAAAAGCATACAACATTCCCCACTATCCAACCACTGCCCTCATAGACACACCCTCACACAGCAGGCCAACAAACACATCAATATCGACACGGCCAAACTCCAAACCAAAAGACAAACACAGCATACAAAACAACCACTGCTGCCCACACCACAACCAAACAACACCCCACACTTGAACTCGGCATGGGATGGCATCCTGCAAAGAGTACACCCAGCACCCAAAACACTCATCCACCACACATCCACCCCACAACCCTCCACCTCCACTAGCACATTCACAACATCCACACCTGCACGCAAAACAAGCAACAATACGTCCGCCATAACCGAACCCGGCACCATACAAACCACAGCCGCTACGGCAACAACACCCGATCCCAAGCAATCACAACCCGAAAACCCAGACAGCAAGGAAACCACATCAAGACCACAAACACAAGCACGCACGCAAACCACCCCCATGGAGTGTGAGGAAACTAAACTTAACAACACCGAAGAATACGAATTCTCAACCGAGGAAGACATAATAAACGAAATTACTCTCTCAGCCCACCCAAAAACCAAAAACTTCAAACGCAGGCCTCAGCAAATGTCAAACAACAAACTAAATAACTTAACCATCCTTCTCGCATACAATGCTAAGGGAAATAAATCCAAACGCTAGCACTAAAGCTTTCTACACCGTAGCAAATAAACTTAAACTGACAACCCTTACCTACGAATTCTTCAGCATCGGCCTTAAATCAGTAAGCCTAATGGAAGGCCTAAACATGTTTCAGTGGAATGCCAACGGACTTAATTCCCACGGCCACGAACTAAAAGCTAAATTTAAACAAGATAAGGGTCCGCACATTGCCTGCATCCAAGAAACCAAATTCTCAAAAAAATCTAAATTTACTCTGCCAAACTACAACTCAGTTAGAACAGACCGAGCCAAACCTAAAACCGCTAGAGCCGCAGGAGGATTAATAATACTAATCAGAGAAGACATTAACTATGAAGAAATCAAAATAAACACACCAAACCTAGAAGCAAACGGCATCCAAATAAGTCTCAAAAACCAAAAAATAAACATAATAAACATATACCACTGGGCAGAACAAAGAATTCAAGCTGAGGACCTAAACAAATTACTCCAAATAAGCAATAAATCAACAATATTCCTAGGAGACTTTAAGGCTTACCACCCCACCTGGAGCATAGATGAAAAAATAGATAATCATGGCAAACTAATCTCTGAATGGATAGAAACAAATCACCTTGTACTCCTAAACAATAACCAACCAACTAGATATGATAAGAATAACCATAAAATGTCGGCTATCGACCTAACCATATGCACCCCAGATCTGGCCCAAAGTACACAATGGGAAGTTCACGACGCCCCACTAGGTAGTGACCACTTCCGTATAAACATTACCATTATACAAACGTTCCTACCCAAACAGCAAACCTAGAACCAAAATTCAGCTATAACCAAGCTAACTGGGACAAATTTCAAGAGATCTGCAACCAAGCCAACCTAACCAAACTAGAAACTAAGGACCCAGAAATCTACTGTAAAAACCTAACAGACTACATAATTAACGCAGCCAAAACTTCAATCGCTTATAAAACAAATAAAGTAGGCAAACCCTCGGTACCATGGTGGAACGAGGAAATAGAACAAACTAGACGCAAACGTAAAACAGCCTTCAATAGAGCCAAACGCGACCATAACCATATACCGGTAGCTCACGAACTGAACCACAAGGTCCAAAAACTAGTCAAAATAGCTAAAACCAGAGATTGGAATTTTTTTTGTGAAGGAGTAAATAACCGCACAGATGCCAGAACAGTCTGGCGAAAAATCCACGCCATTAGAGGCTTAAAACGTCAAACAAAAAACACCCAACATAAACAACTCAACCAACCCTACCGAAAAGGCAAATAACCTAGCAAACCACTTTTCGGCCATAAGCAGCAACAATAACTTCAGCGAAAAATTCCAACAAAAACTTAAAGCAGAAGCCAAACCTACCAAAGAACCAAATAATGATAACCTCGAAATAAACCAACCTTACTCAATGGAAGAAATCCTGTACGTACTCCAAAATAGGAAAAAGGAAACTGCCCCAGGACTAGACCTAGCATCCTACCAAATAATAACACCCCTCCCCCCCCCCCCCCCCCCCCCCAAACTACTCCAGGCACTACTTAAATTATATAACCTAATCTATCAAAACGGACAGGTACCAACTCCCTGGAAACAGGCACTAGAAATCCCAATCCCTAAACCCGATAAACCAACTAATCAGGCTAATTCTTATAGACCAATTTCCCTAACCTCAAACCTATGTAAAGTAATGGAATCTATGGCCAAAAATAGACTACAACACTACTTAACTCAAAATAACATCATAAACCCAGACCAAAGCGGCTTCACTCCTGGCCGCTCAACCTTAGATAATCTCGCCCGACTAGAACAGGACATTAAGACAGGACAACTCAACAAACAATACACAACAGGCATCTTTCTGGAATTCTCCAAAGCATTCGACATGGTTTGGCACAACGGGCTAATACAAAAACTTAAAAAATAGGACTAAAAGGACAAATAATAAACTACATCCAGTACTTTCTAAAGGATCGTAAAATAATGAGTGAGTGAGTGAGTGAGTATTGTTTTACGCCGCTTTTAGCAATATTCCAGCAATATCACGGCGGGGGACACCAGAAATGGGCTTCACACAATGTACCCATGTCGGGAATCGAACCCGGGTCTTCGGCGTGACGAGCGAACACTTTAACCACTAGGCTACCCGACCGCCCCTTTAAATGGGTGGGTATAGACCATACACTATCGAACCAGTGTCCCCTAGAAAATGGCACTCCCCAGGGCAGTATCCTCAGCCCCACACTCTTTAATATAATGATAAATGATCTCTTCGAGGGCCTATCCCCTAAAATAAACACATCCAAATTCGCAGATCCGCACTAAAAGTATCAAAATATCCCAAAATCTACTCCAAAAATCCCTAAACAAAATACAGCAATGGGCTGACAAATGGGGCTTCTCCCTAAACTCGGAAAAAACAACAGGAACAGTATTCAAACACAAAAACATGAAACCGGCCACCCCTAATCTTCAGCTAAACAACAAACCAATCAAATTCCAAAAACAAACTAAATTCCTAGGCCTAATTTTCGATCAACATCTCTCATGGGATGCTCACGTAAAATACCTAACTACTAAATGCAGCAAAGACTTAAACACACTAAGATGTCTCATTGGCTCCAACTGGGGGGCCTCTAAAGATACCCTCTTCTCACTATACATTTCACGAATTAGATCTAAACTAGACTACGGCTGTGCCATCTACGATACTCTAAACCAAACTCTAACCCAAAAACTAGACTCAATACAATATCAGGCTCTTAGATTAGTCACACGTACCCAACATGGCACATCTCTCACTTCACTCCAGGCCCTTACAGGAGAAATGCCACTAAATCTACGCAGACAACACTTAACCTTAAACTTCTGGGCCGCGTCCCAATCAAACCCCCTCATCCAAAACCTAATAAACCAAAATATCCGACCTCAAAACCAAGCTCTAACTAGGAAACACCCTCTACTTACACCAATATCCCAACGAATAACCAACTACCTAAACGAACACCAAATAAACAACCTAAAACAAACCTGCAAACAATCAAATATATTTACCCCAAAACTCAAAATCCCCCAAATAGACATATCTCTAGCCAACTCAATAAATAAACAAACCGACCCAAACATAACTAAATCCACTACACTAGCATACATACACGAAAATTGGCCAAATTGGTGTCACATCCACACAGACGGATCCTCTGATCCGATCTCCAACCACACAGGTTTCGGAGTCCACATCGCACAACCAACCAGAAATACACAATCCTTTCGACTCCCAAACAACCAATCTAACCTTACAGCAGAGCTAATGGGCATGGCCTCAGCCCTCCATAACCAGCAATCTAAAAAACATAAAAAAATCCTAATACTCACAGACTCACTAAGTGGACTGCAGGCCCTCCAAAATAAAAACACCAAAAACCGCCCCAAACTCATAAACCAAATACTAAAAAGCGGAAACAACTTAACAGAGGCAGGCAAACAAAGAGTATTCATCTGGATCCCCGCCCTCGTAGGAATATACGGCAACGAAAACGCCGACAAAACCGCTAAACAATCCCTCAAAATCCCTGAAATAAGCTCAAAGCTACCCATATCCAAATCAGAGATCAAAAGTATCCACAACCGAAAAATCACCCAAAATGGCATAACCTCTATCTAAAATCAAATAGCCAAATTAAAAAAGTTCTCAAAAAACCCTTAACCAAACCAAAAACCCTTCATCCATAAAAAAAATCGATAGAATAATCACTAAACTCCAAACAGGACACACCAACCTAAATAGCCACCTCAAAATAAAAAAAACAACACGCAACAGGAAAGTGCCCACACTGCAAACACCTAGAAACCCCAGAGCACGCACTCATACACTGGCCCCACTACCAAACACACCGAGCTACACTACAAACAACCCTCAATCTAAATGAGGCTCTTACTCTAGAAGCAATCCTAAACCCACAAAATAAAATAGAAAAATTTAAAGCCCTAGGCGTATACTTAATTAAAACAGACCTAATTAAGCGCATCTAATATCCAACAAACTACCAAAACAAACCACATAAACCAACAATCACACCTTAATCAACTCCCTTAGTCCGCCCACCATACCCCCTTGGCATCTATTCCAAATCTCAAAAATTCCAAATTTCTCTATATAAGCAACCACTAAATTCCCCCACTGGGTTGCCAATTTTCTTTTCCCTTTTCGGAAATACACTAAATGGCCCGGCCGGGCCCGTGTGCGAAATACGCTAGAGTCGGAAAGCGCACGTAAATTCTCCAATGTAAGTAAGGTTTGACGACCCGGTGACAGACCACTGTTACTAAATCCTCATGTGTTTGCTCTTTTGACGTACATTACGTAGGGCTTATTCTTTCCAGAGGGCCCCACGTGGGTCTTGTTTGAAATTATAGTGTTATCACTAAAGTCTGTAAGATCTTTAAATTCCCTTTATCTTACATCAAAATCCTTTAACACGCCATTGATCACTTATTGTTGTGTACGTTACAAAATATCCTTTGAGGACAACGAGTCACTGATCTGTTCAGTTGACCTGCCTATAAGTGCAGCACAGGTCAACCTCGCAATGACCCATGTGAGAAACCAGTCCACCGTTCAGTTTCCCATAGGTCAGTTGTATTTCGGACAGGCGATACCCCTCATACTGCTCTATATCTTTTGATACAAGCTCAGAAAAACCACCCGTGGCTTCTATATCAGAAATAAGTCTTTAGATAAGGTAAGTAAATGTTCGCATCTGTAAGTGAAATATATTTTATGTCATGACTTTTATTCATCTGAAAAGTAGAAAGTTCATATTTGGTGTCGTCTAAAAATGAAATGAACAAGAAAGGGTTATTCGGTTGTGATATGTTTGATACGGGCATAATGGTTGTGTTTTGGAGCTACATTTTGCAGTTTGTTTGCGGGCTGTTTTCAGTTCAGTAACGTTTTGATAACGTTCCTACTTTTTGGTCAGTTCAAATTTTCAAGCCTATACTTTCTTTTGCCCGGCAGTTTATATATATCGTGATAAGGATAGTAAGACTTCAGGCTACCCTTGCTATAATACTCCTTATAATAACCCTGTGCTTACTGGGTTTTTTTGTTCTTGGCGTAGGCCCCGTGGGATCAGGGTGAGAATACACCTGCGGCTCCAGCAATTGGTTGTCGTAATGAAAGATTAACGCTTTCGGTTATACCTAACGGCGTGGAACGTAGCTTACACCATCAACATCTGTGACAACAGTAACAGAGTAGTGAACACAATAACCTATCGAACGTGTCCGGTTGTCTCAGTGTTTTCATATTGTTGACACTCAAGCAAGGATTTATTACCAAACGTGATGTGGGTGGTGGGGGTGGGTGGGTAAGATAACAAGGACATAATGCGTGTCAAACATGCTTGCTGTATTTATTGATTTCCTGTATTCTGCAGGAATGGGAATCGCTGACATGTCAACTTTCTTAATCTTAAAAAAACTTTTCAACTTTATCAACCTCAACACATCCCCACTTTCTCGACCTAAAAAAACACCCCTACTGTCTCCAACTTAAAATACACCCCTGCTGTATCCAACTAAAAATACATTCCTACTTTCTCCAACTTCAAAACACCTTTTTATGAATAATTCTTTTGTGCAACATATCTGAATATCAAAGTATAGGTATATGTCATGGCACATGATCAGTATGTATGTGCTTGTGTGTGTGTGTGTGTGTGTGTGTGTGTGTGTGTGTGTGTGTACATACATACACACACTCACTCAAACACGCACATATACACTCACACACTCATACCCCCCCCCCCCCCCCCCCAACACACACACACACACACACACACACACACACATTATGGGAATATAATATATTCAATTACATCTAATAGTATAAACGAGAGATAATATAGTTTCATTCAAGTACGATGCACATGTTACGAGCACCGTATAATCTCTCAAGCGTAATGCACATTATTGAACACATTTAACATGACCAGCAACTGTCTCCATTTGCTATTAACATCAGTCACTGCTAGATGCTGAGTCTGATATCTCCCCAGGTTTGTGTGCAGTAGCATCTAAGAACCATGGCAGTCAACATCCCAGGACTTGTTGCTGTGTTGGTGTTCTACGTCATCATTCTCCTCGTCGGCATCTTTGCTGGAAGAAAGAAACGGAGCATCAATGACTTCATGTTGGCCGGCCGTAGAATGAATTCGTTGGTGTCGGTGCTCTCAATAACAGGTAAACTATAATTTTGATGTCTGAAGGTTTAGGTATAGTTATTGTTCATTTAGTCATTTGTGGGTTTCACCATTCAAGGCCATAGCAACAATTTCAAAACGTTTTATGGTAGTTTGACGCATCAGTGACAAACATGATGTCCGATTGCACAGTTTGAGTAATTGGGTTCCAAATTCACTACACTTTATTTAATAACTATAATGAAATAAATACAAAGCGACAAAACCATTTCCATAATCATAAGAAACTAAAATCAAAGTCAATTGCACCATTCCGACCAGATCATTAGCTTCTTATTATGATTCTTTATTAAATAATGATGATACCAGCTGGTCGAGAAAAGCCGAGCTTCTTTTCTTGCCCCACATGTCGCACCCGTTAAAAACGCATGACAAGGAAAGTCAATTGTTCACCTAACAAAACACGGGAAGGTGTGGTACAAGTTGAAATAGGGAATTGCATCGTACATAGTTTTTGTAACTGATCGACTCTTCACACTCAGCTCAGCTTTCTGATATTTTGTAGGCTTTAAATCATATTATATTAACAAGAGAAAACCTCTTTCTCGTTAATACTGAAAACGTGGGTTTACTGTACAGTACATGTTCAGCTTAAAAATCAAAAGGTATTTTAATTAAAAAACGATATTTTTAGATCTGTAAACATTTCGTTCTAATTGATTTGAATTCATAGATATTATTACTGATCGAATTGACATTATTGATTGATTATTTGACTGATTATCTCATCTTTAAATCATTGACATTGGGTTTATAATGATACTGACAAGGAAATATTTTTTTCTGAAGTTAGCTTCAGTGGAAATTCTCATAACATCAATTTCGACCTTCCACTAATTGTAATCATCACATAAATACACCAGTCCTTTATCCATGTGTGACCGTGTGAAGCCCATTTCTGGTGCCCCTCGCCGTGATATTGCTGGAATATTGCTAAAAGCGGCGTAAAACCATACTCACTCACTCACTCCACGTGTGACCCTTTTAAATGATTGTGAAATGCTGCACACAGATGTGAGTAATTACTTGTTCTGTATTATTCTCATACTTAACCACACACATACTAATCTCTCTGATCGAGCATTGATGGAACATCAATGGGAAGTTCCCCGTAATAGATATTAATTTAATACCTATTATCCTGAATATTATCCTGCATGTTATTGAATAGATCCTACAAATGGCCAGCATGTTACAAAATGGATTACACTTTTATATGTACAGCGTTGAAATAATATTTGTGTATTTCATGGTGTTTGTAATCCTGTAATAGCTGTGTAATGGGCTGTAGCATGGATAGACATACGCAGACCCAAACGTAGATGTATGTATGTATGTATGTATGAGAGAGAGAGTGTGAGTGAGTGAGTGAGTGAGTGAGTGAGTGAGTGTACTTCGGCCTCGTATCAGCATCGTCATACACATGCACATACATTGCACGCACACAGACACGCGCGCGCACATACACAAACACACACTCAAACACTCACATATACAAACACACAAATATATATATTACATGGTCAAGAGTTGATATGTATATATGTATAAGGCACGTTCATACATCATTTAAACATGCACGACTTTGGCAGCAATAAAACCTACCCAAACTCTGCCTTGTGTTCTATAAAATGACAAAAACTGCAGCGGTTAAACCGTTTAATAAAAATGTCATATCAGTGCTCCACGAGCTGTTGTCCATTTCTCGACCAACTCTTGACCATGTAATTAGTGACAAGAGTTAAACTGAGACACTGAGGCAGCGCCTGAAAACATTATTCTCTCTCGAACAAAAATTCCCAGCAACCACCACCCACCCACCCTTAGAATATTACTGGCTGGACACTTCAGAGGTTTTTATGCTACACTCGGCTTCAGACAAGTACATGGGGCACGGGTGGCCCAGTCGACCTAGGCGCGGCGATCCGCTGTGCAGAGTTGCGTCCCTTGGTCACGCCAGAAACCTATGATTGTGGGTTCGAATCCCGGTAATAAAAGTGAGATTCAATAAAGTGGAATTGGTTCAGTTTTTTTTGTCGTAATAGAAGTGAGATTCAATAAAGTGGAATTAGTTCATTTTATTTGTCGTAATAGAAATGAGATTCAATAAAGTGGAATCGATTCAGGGTATTTATCAGAATAGAAGGGAAATCATGGAGCGTTCAAACAATAGAATGACACAGATGTGTTTTAACAGAATAGAAGAGAGATTTCATACACTGGAAAATCGAGAATATGCTGTTAGCGGTTTCTATATATATTGTGTCAAAAACCTACATGGGGTAATATGTAAATAGATGTTTTTGATATTACACATGCGATGGTCATACCATTGTGGCCACGAAAAGAAGCAGTGCCATGCCAACTCACCTATTTTGCTATCAAGAAACGGATTACAATTGCTAACGGGATATATTTTACCCGATTTGAGGTGTCATGCATTACATCAGCATATAGCCTAGGTTTGTTTTAATCTACAGCGACAGTTGTGGGCGGTGCATACATCAACGGAACTGCCGAGTCCATGGCATTCCTGGGACTGGCATGGTCACTGGTGCCTCCTGGATTCTTTATAGGAGCAATGATCGGTAAGGGGAAGATTATGTATTTGCGACACATACAAGACATCTTCATTTCACGGTTATTAATTTAAAACTGATTGACAGTAAACAACAAAGCGGAATACAGACATGTTGTTGTTTGTTGATTAACGCCGCATTCAGCAATATTCCAGCTACATGAATAGGACGGCGGTCTGTAAATAATCGAGTCTGGATCAGCAAATACAGTGATTGATATCATGAACATCGATCCACGCAATTTGGATACGATGACAAGCATCAACCAAGTCAGCGAGCCTGACCACCTGATCCGGTTAGTCGCCTCCTTCAGGGATGAATACTTTATTTCAGAAAGTGGGACTCAAAATTTCACACAAGAACACAGTATACAGGATTGCATAACACGGTGCACACACACACACACACACACACACACACACACACACACACACACACACACACACACACACACACACACACACACACACACACACACACACACACACACTCACTCGATTCCCATAGAACAGTCGGGTATTGAAATTATAATCATCGTATTGCATAAAAATCATATTTTCATTGATATGGTTAACCAATATGAAAACAGTGCATAATTTGATAACTAATCTGATTTAGAACACCTGGTTTCATCACTGTTTGATATTGATTCATAAACACATGCTCATGATGTAGTAGGAATCGTACAATTGACTCTACTTTTCTTTTTCTTTCAGTGGCATTCGTGTATGCACCGAAATTACACAGGATGGATTGTGTTACTATGTTTGATCCCATGCAAAAGAAATACGGCAAGTATGTGGGAGGGCTGTTATTCTTCCCGGAACTGATGGGGGATCTGTTTTGGGCAGCGGCCATATTGGCCGCGTTAGGTAAGCAAAAAACTACTGGAATGAAGTCTGGATTCGTGTGTTATAGCAACGCCTTTCATACACGTAGCTGTATCATTGTAGCAGGCCAAATGGAAATATTTATCGGGCAGCGGCGCGTCACCTTAAATCATGCGCGTCAGTCATTTTTATCCTTTTCCCCACACCATACGAAGCAGCTGCATAATAACATTGTATTAAAGAGCCGAGTTGAGTGTGCCTAGTTAGGACAGACTTTTAAAAATTCTTTTTGATTTGGTTGTGAAACATTTGGTAGCCTTTGTTTAATAAAAAGCTCGTATAATCGTCTTAATGTTTTATTTGGGTCGGTAAGGTGATTAAAAATGACGATTTATTGTTTATTTTTTCTGTTTTAGTCACATGATAATCACTTATTGTGTATGTTTATTTTTATTGTCAAAGCGGTCTTTATTCCCCGGAATTATCCCCCTGAATTTTCGAGTTTTAAGTTCAGCAGATACGTAAATCAAGCAAGACAAATGTAAGGCCTGTGTGTTGGTAATCTGAGCGGGAAATAAATAAAACGTATTCCATTCCCATCGCTTTTGTTTTCAATTAAAAATGTTCAAAAGGTCCTTAAAAATGTTCAAAAGGTCCTACCTTCCTCCTTGAGAAAAATGTGCTCGAGAAGTATTTATGCTTTGTTATGCGACCAAGGCGATGAAAATAGTGATTGTACATGAATATCAAATTATAAATATATTTATCATACCCGTCTATATACAAATATGATCTTGAATTGTAAATGGTAATATCTGGGCCCCTCAAGTGTGTGTCACTGGAGCATTGTAAAAGTAGACTCACAAAGTTACCCGTGTATGGCTCCAAAACTCTTTACCAGGTTCAACGATGGCGATCATACTGGACGTGGACTCGTGGATCATGATCATAGTGTCCGGGGTGGTGGCAGCGGTGTACACGTGTTTCGGGGGACTCCTGTCTGTGGCTTACACAGACATCGTGCAGCTCATCTTCATTGTCAATGGTCTGGTATGGTAATAAGCTGCCTGGCAAAAGAGAGTATACACCTTTGTTTGATGGGGTTAAAAATGAAACAAATAAAAAAGATTATTCGATGCTGATGTATTTCATAGGGGTATCATAGTTGTGTTTTGGACCTTAAGTTTTCAGTTTTTCGGCATGTTTTCAGTCTAGGAACGTTTTGATAACGTTTATATTTTGTTTTGACAAATCCTATTTTTAAGTGTGTACTTTCTTTCCGGCAGCTGTGTGTATCGGGAGACTTCTCTGTGGGTCGAATAACAGTTCCATATAATTTAAGAATTGACTTCTATATGTGTGTTTGGTATATATATCTGTGAGCTATAAACGTAAAATCCGATGTGCATACTTTCCTTTCATGTTAAAAAAGCAGCGGATTAATGCGCTGTGTGTACATCGGGCGTGGAACACGTGAAGTTATATAGTCTTCAGCCACCCATACGTGCCGTAAATGGCGACTATGCTTGTCGTAAGAGCCAACAAACAGGATCGGGTGGTCAGGCTCGCTGCCTTGGTTGATCGTATCCCAATTACGTAGACAAATGCGCATGATATCAATCACTGGATTGCCTGGTCCAGACTCGATGTTTTACAGACCGCCGTCACATAGCTGGAATATTGCCGAGTGCAATAAACAATAAACAAACAAACAAAACATCGGGCGTGGCTTAATTTGTTTAGGTTTATTGACAAATACATGCAATCACAAATACTTGTATGGTTAGCAAATCAAATGCCATGTAATCACTTGCAATTTATTATTTTATTAGACCGCCTCCGTGGTCTTGTGGTAGAGCGTTCGCCCGGAGAGCGGAAGGTCCGGGGATCGATCCCCGGCCGCGTCATACCAAAAGACGTTAAAAGATGGTACTTGTTGTTACCCTGTCTGGCGCTCGGCATTAAGGGGCTAAAGCAAGGACTGGTCGGCTCGGAGTCAGTATACTGTGTCTGAGTGGGGTATTCTTGTTAAACTGCGGCATGGTATCTCAGTTAGCTAGCACTATAAATCGGCATCAGTCCGGACTAGTACAAGCAGCCACACAAACACACACACGTACATGCACGTCGCTATATAAGTGCAATAATCTTGGACGCGACGTTAAACCCAATTTCACCTCACCTATTATTTTATTTACAATGTAAAGTTAGCTATCGAACAGCAACATGTGAATGTATGATTTGTGTGATAAAAACACAGGGCACTACAATGCTAACTGTTAATTAATTGTACGGGTGACATGTGCAGACAGAGAATACCATTTGGACCTATCAAGACCACACGCTACTTTGAGGTCTGTCAGTCTATAGATATGACTCGATGACTGTCTTTAAACAACCTGACATGGAAGAATATTTAATAGCTTGGGAAATGTGGCATATTGACTTATTTTTTGGTATTTATTTGTAGACCTACCTGTGAATGTCTTCTTTGAGGGGCATTCAGAAGTTAGAGTACTAAGTAAGGATACAATATATGGATGAACAACTTCTTTATTCCAACAAGTAGGAGCGACGTTTCGTTGTAGGTTTTAACACCGTTATCAGTGATATCCGAACCCACGTGTGAATGTCAAGAAACCTATATATAACTGTATAACTGATCATTCCAGATTGTAAGCTTCCCTTTTGCGATGAACCACCCGGCAGTAGATTTCAGCAGAGTGAGTTCCACATGGACTGGTGCAGTTCCCGTTGCCCTGACGGGATCTTACATTGACGTGTGCCTATTACTTGTCTTTGGAGCCATACCTTGGCAGGTATTAAACTACATACATGTCAATTTTAAAACTTAAACGGGGTCTTGGTAGTCAAGTGGTTTAAGATGTCGCTCATCAGGATTGATTCAAATAAGAATGTACTTGTTCCATTGAGGGTAAAAGAAAGGACAATCTATGAAAAGGACCATATTTGTGAGTGAGTGAGTATGGTTTTACGCCGTTTTTAGCTATATTTTAGCAATATCATGGCGGGGGACAACAACATTTGGGCTTCACACTTTGTAACCATGTTGAGAATGGAACCTATTGTTTTGTTTTCAACAATAGCGTGTTGCAATTTATGTTGGTTGTTTTGTTTGTTAGTTGTTTAACGCCGCCGCACTCAGCAATATTCCAGCTATATGACGGCGGTATGTAAATAATCGAGTCTGGACAAGACAATCCAGTGATTGACATCATGAGCATCGATCTACGCAATTGGGATGCGACGACATGCATCATCCAAGTCACCGAGCGTGACCACCCGACCCCGTTAGTCACCTCTTACGACAAGCATGGGTTGCTGAACGCCAATTCTAACCCGGATCTTCACGGGTTTGTTTGGATTTAAGAAAATGGAATGACTAACACGTGTGAAAAAGGTGCTGATGTAAGAGTTAAACTTTACCTTAAGCCTGTGAAGATTCCGGGTAGAACTATATGTCTTCAGCAGCTTGTCATGGTCCGACACTGTGGCTTGATCGAGTGTCATCGTATCCAGATTGCGTGGAATTTACCCATGATGTTTTGACTGGTCTGGACTTAATTATGTTTATAGTCATATAGATGGAATAGTACTGATTGTGACGTTCAACAACAGCACATCTGATGTATTTGATGTTGTAAGTATAAATAGACAAGGTCTTCTGTTCACATGAATGGTCACTAAAATATCCAAAGGTCTTTCCCCAATTTGAATTTGGACAATTCGTGAGGTCAAAATTAAATTCGATCGAAAATATGGCATTGATCTAAGGTCAACATATAACACAGGGGCCCCCGCGCACACCGACCAAGGATAAACCGTGAACAGTAACGGAGTCACAAACATCATTATAAAAACATATGTACCCCAAAGACATGTATCTTTCGTCTCAACGTTTCTGTCCTCCAACATTTCCTCCATCTATTTTCAAACAATTCTGTAACTTGCTAGGCATTGATAAAGTTGAGGATTATTCAAAACGGCGTGACATCCTACTCTCATCTTTACAGGCATTCTACCAACGTGTTCTGGCATGCAAAACAGTCCGTGTGGCCCGAATGTCCATTGCATTAGCATCGGTTATGATACTTGTACTTGGAGTTCCTCCTCTCTTCATGGGTGCCATTGGAGCTGCTACAGGTATGGTAGTTATTATATTGTGAACACATACAACGTTCAAAAATGATTTACTGAAGGGATGAACTAAACTACTGGTCAAAGGAAGTATATATTTGAAAACTGGATTTGACCAAAATATTATATATATCTATTGTGAGATGCTCATTGACATGATGTTTGTGATCCCCGTAGCAAATACACCACCGATAAAACATTCCTTAGATGTTTCATGTTTAGCTACCATCAAACGTTCTGTTGCCCGGCAGATCACACTGAAACCGCCTACACGAACGAACACGTTCTAATATCATCTGTGACTACTTTTTCACCTGTGAATCTCATAAATATGAAATAATAGGCAAAGCATCTAGCGAGGGTCAAGTTTGGGGGCCTTTCATAAATCTGCACATTTCTCTCGTGTGCCCAACAAGAGAAACACAAGTTATTCGCGTTGATTTGGGAAACACTTTCATCTTATAGAAAATACGGACAGCAATATATTTTATTACATCGGTGTTTTGTGAATTGGGGAGATATATAATCAAATCTATTTATGCTTATTACAAAGTTCATGAAGCTATGTTCACAAAACCATATCAAGGCAACATACGAAGAATTTGTGGTGAAGGAGAGTAGGTGTGTCTTGGAGATCAGCACAATGCTCAGAAGCCACGTGCTGCGTACATTCCTGACCAGTATCCTTTTTACTTTACTTCTTGGACTCACAAAACAATAGACGGCAATGTATAGCCAGTTTATTTATGTGGCTTTGTCATGTGATTACAGATTGGAACCAGACATCGTATGACGGAGTGATTCCTTTCCCTCCTGAGATGCAAAGCTCAATCCTGCCTCTCGTCCTCAATTACCTGTGCCCACTTCCGGTTTCCATGATCGGTCTGGGGGCAATTTCTGCTGCAGTCATGTCGTCTGCTGACTCCGTGAATCTGGCAGCGTCGTCTGTAGCGGCAAAGAATATTTATAGCGATATATTTCGACCAAATGTAAGTTGTGATAATATTGATACTATGATAATTATGTAATTGGATACAATAACACTAGCAAAGAGGGATGTCTGAAGCCTGTTCTTGGTTTCAACCGATGTTGTATGGCTGGATTATTGCCAGAACGACGTTCATCTAGAAGGAAAATATTGGGAAAACTCTCTTTATGGAGTTTGAAAATATTTCTTTTTCTTCAAACTGTGACAATGGACTCTCCTTAAACTATCCTCTCTTACACAACTTTCTCAATACAACGACATTAATTCATGTTTAAATTTGATTCTCACAGGACTCAATAGGCATTCAATGTAACCCAAATGGCGAAATAAGAAAGGAGATTGTTCCAGTCCGATGAAATGTTTGTTTAAAGAGGGTATGGATATTCAGATCTGAGTCGTTTTTCTCAAAGACAATAGATTTCTGCTGGTCTAACAATTGTTAAACACGTGACACAGGACACGCTATCCTTACGAAATGGCCTCCATTTTGAAGCAGTCGCGGATTGAAGACCAGGTTTAAGACAACCCGTCTGCACCTAGCTTGACTCCCATTCTCTGTTACTAACCATCTGGAATGGGAGAATGGGATGAAAACTTCGTATACATCGAGATGATATAATAGACGATGAGTTTGAGTATCCATTTTACCCATTAGCATGTCCTTTGTCACGCGATCACCAAATTGAGCGGATAATCTAGTATTCGTCCATGTCATTTCAGGCGAGTGATCGCGAGGTTGTGTGGGTCATGAGAATCTGCAGCCTTCTCTTTGCTGGCGGTGCATGTGCTTTAGCTATTGTCAGCAAAAGCGTCTACGGTCTTTTCGTAGCATGTGGTGACCTGATGTACGTAATTCAGTTCCCCCAGTTTACCTGCGCCCTGTGGGTGAGTTGGGCAAACGGCTATGGATCATTCATTGGCTTCATCGTGGCTCTGATATTGAGAATAGGAGCAGGCGAGCCTCTTCTGAACGTTCCACCTTTCATCCACTTCCCACTTTACGACGACGTGTTCGGCCAGACTTTTCCCTTTAGAACACTCATCGCTATCATCAGCTTTGCTACAATATTGGGCGTGTCTGCTGTCACCAAGGTGATGTTCAGGAATCGGATTCTGCCGTCCAGACTTGACGTTCTAAATGCTTCAGGGCAAAATACATAAGTGGACAAGAAAACCGGCAACCAGACTGCAAAATATCTCCTTCCTTTGAGGACATCGCCTCACAGAATCTTTTGAAAGACTTGTCCGTGCTTGTATTCATCCACGAATCGCCAGTAGAGTACAGTAAACTACGGTTATAACGAACTCAAAGGGACTACTAATTTTAGTTCGTTATAAGCATATATACAGCATAACTACAGCAAATAGACGGGACCAAAAACGTTTGTTCGTTATATCGATCAGTTCGTTATAAGCGTGTTCGTTATAACCGTAGTTTACTGAATATGAAAAGGCCTACATACGAAAAACAAACTACCTCACGAAGAAACCGTGATATGGAGTGGAGTGAACAAAAACTGTAGCTTGGATATGCATTCCCATAGCCTTGTAAATGTGTTACATCGTGTAGTTCATCTACGGTGTACAATTTTCATTAAACTTCAACTGATTGGACATGGTGTTCCTGCTTGTACACACAGTCGTCTTCCGTAGTTGCACCAAGAGCACCACAACAAGACATGTACGTGTCTCACACATTGATTGCCAATCGGCTGAACATAAAGATGTACTACACAATGGCAATTGTCACTTGGCGACACATCAGTATCACACATAAAAACAAGGTGCTCCTTACACACGCATTGAACCAGAAGAAACGAAGATTGTCATTTACAATTTACATGCATTAGATTACCATGTATATGCACCACACACGTAATCAGGAGGCCCGTAGATTGACATTTACATGCACCACACACTTTACCTGGAGGCTCTTAGATTACCATGTATATGCGCCACACACTTAACCAGGAGGCCCGTAGATTTACATTGTCATGCACCCCACACATAACCAGGAGGTCCGTAGTTTGACATTTACATGCACCCCACACATAACCAGGAGGTCCGTAGTTTGACATTTACATGCACCCTACACATAACCAGGAGGTCCGTAGATTGACATTTACATGCACCCCACACATAACCAGGAGGCCCGTAGATTGACATTTACATGCACCCCACACATAACCAGGAGGCCCATCGATTGTCATTTACATGCACCTCACACATAACCAGGAGACCCATCGATTGACATTTACATGCACCTCACACATAACCAGGAGGCCCGTAGATTGACATTTACATGCACCCCACACATAACCAGGAGGCCCGTAGATTGATATTTACATGCACCCCACACATAACCAGGAGTCCCATCGATTGACATTTACATGCACCTCACACATAACCAGGTGACCCGTAGATTGACATTTACATGCACCCCACACTCAACCAGGAGGCCCGTAGATTTACATTTTCATGCACCCCACACATAACCAGGAGGCCCGTAGATTACCATGTATATGCACCACATACTTAACCAGGAGACCCGTAGATTACAATGTATATGCACCACATTCTGAACCGGGGGGCCCCTTAGATTACCATGTATATGCACCACACACTTAACCAGGAGGCCCGTAGATTGACATTTACATGCACCCCACACATAACCAGGAGGCCCGTAGATTGACATTTACATGCACCACACACTGAATCAGGGGGCCCGTAGATTGACATTTACATGCACAACACACTGAATCAGGGGGCCCGTAGATTGACATTTACATGCACCACACACTTAATCAGGAGGCCCGTAGATTGACATTTACATGCACCACACACTTAATCAGGAGGCCCGTAGATTGACATTTACATGCACCACACACTTAATCAGGGGGCCCGTAGATTGACATTTACATGCACCACACACTTAATCAGGAGGCCCGTAGATTGACATTTACATGCACCTCACACATAACCAGGAGGCCCGTAGATTACCATGTATATGCACCACATTCTGAACCGGGGGGGGCCTTAGATTACCATGTATATGCGCCACACACTTAACCAGAGATCTTTAGATTACCATGTATATGCACCACACACTTAACCAGGAGGCCCGTAGATTGACATTTACATGCACCTCACACATAACCAGGAGGCCCGTAGATTACCATGTATATGCACCACATTCTGAACCGGGGGGGGGGGGGGGGGGGCCCTTAGATTACCATGTATATGCGCCACACACTTAACCAGAGATCTTTAGATTACCATGTATATGCACCACACACTTAACCAGGAGGCCCGTAGATTGACATTTACATGCACCCCACACATAACCAGGAGGCCCGTAGATTGACATTTACATGCACCACACACTTAATCAGGAGGCCCGTAGATTGACATTTACATGCACCACACACTTAATCAGGAGGCCCGTAGATTGACATTTACATGCACCACACACTTAATCAGGAGGCCCGTAGATTGACATTTACATGCACCACACACTTAATCAGGAGGCCCGTAGATTGACATTTACATGCACCACACACTGAATCAGGAGGCCCGTAGATTGACATTTACATGCACCACACACTGAATCAGGAGGCCCGTAGATTGACATTTACATGCACCACACACTTAATCAGGAGGCCCGTAGATTGACATTTACATGCACCACACACTTAATCAGGAGGCCCGTAGATTGACATTTACATGCACCACACACTTAATCAGGGGGCCCGTAGATTGACATTTACATGCACCACACACTGAATCAGGAGGCCCGTAGATTGACATTTACATGCACCACACACTTAATCAGGGGGCCTTTGGGAGACACTTATATGTACTATACATTGCATAAACAAACCAGCGGTTCGACGTACTAGGGTTGATTGATAAGTTCTGCAACATACACGCACACATCATTATTTTGTCTCATGTACTACGGTGTCTGTAACTTACACGCACACATCATTATTTTGTCTCGTACTACAGTGTCTGTAACATGCACGCACACGTCGTTATTTTGTCTCATGTACTACAGAGTATGGAACTCGAACGCACACATAATTATTTGCCCCATGTACTACAGGGTATTTAATATATACACCACACACTTGTATCACTAAAAGGAAATATTTCTCTATCTCCTTGCATTAAGTAGAAAGACTGTTAGCTTATCTCATTAAGGAAAATTACACTTATCCTTATACGTGTTTCCGTTAGATATTACTTGTCAACAGCAAAGTTTTCGATCGACAAATGAATTAATATATAGCTGTATGCAAACGTAGATATCTCTATGTGAGCTGGATAAACCACCAAAGCAGGGTGTACATGCACGTCACCAATTAATAACCAAACCGCTATAAGTGTAAATAATATCAATGCTATTTTGAAAGATACTTAAAGGTCCATAGTCGTTCTTGCTGGGACATTAATAACTTAACTACCCAAGTCTAATTGGGTCAAAACAGCAGTCAATAATGATTACAGTGAGCAAAGCATGTTGTGCCATGTTGCCATTTCCTCACATACATTGTCCATTGTACAAACGGAATAGGTTGTTCCCGCCATGAGGGATATAATGTTTCTTGGTATCTTCAAAACATTAATAAGTACTCCTTTCAATTTCCAAGCCTGGCGACCTTTTTTAAACGGTCGGTATCTAAATGGTCGCGCTCGACTCCGTTGTAATTGAGGTGCCTTGTCATTTTCACTGAGCAAGACAATAAGACGGGGAACGTGTGCAACGAAGTTATTTAATGTTTCGAATACATGAGACACATCAGGAGAAGAAAGTCGGACTGTTATCTTTAAACATGAATACATGATTGAAAAATAAAATGTTATGACATAATTGAACTTACATATAAGAACTGTATCCTGGAAGTTAGTTTGTTTGTTATTTAACGCCTCACTCAGCAATAATCAAGCTACAGTGCTCCCTATTTATCATGGTCCTGGTTATAATGCCACCCTGGTTATAATGCCGCCCTGGTTATAATGCCGCCCTGGTTATAATGCCACCCTGGTTATAAGGCCGCCCTGGTAATAAGGCCACCCCGGTTATATTGCTACCCTCTATAATGCCACTCTGGTTATAATGCCGCCCTGGTTATAATTCCAGCGTGGTTATAATGCCACCCTGGTTATAAGCCCGCCCTGGTTATAATACCACCCTGGTTATAATGTCACCCTGTTTATAATGCCTATGCCGATGCTTTTCAATCGTTAAATTCCCTGGCTTTAATGTCAGTTTGGCAAAAAAGAAATGGCAATGTATTTAATCTTTTGGGGATAATTCCCTCTTTTAAATCAACACATTAATTGCCTTGATCTCAGCGAATCATCACACAGAAATTCAAGTCCCAATACCATAAACTCCAGCTTAATCATTGTGTTGACAATAAACTGGCCCCAATGAAAATGATGTGATGACACCATCAACGTCTGCGTGCAAACACTGTATATGGTGGAGGTCTGTAAATAATCGATTCTTGACCAGGAAATCCATTCATTGACATCATGAGCATCGATCTATGCAAATTGGATACGAAGAAATTTTGTCAAGCAAGTCACTGAGTCTGATCACCCGATTCCTTTTATCGTCTCTTTCGAAAAGAATGGGTTGCTGAAGCTTCGGGGATCCTGGAAGACACATATCAGGATATCACTGAACACATGTATACCACTAATGTATCACTGATATTATGGCTAGCAACAGAGATGTATTCTTGTATCCACCAAAACGTCAATACTTAAAAATATAATTGAACACTAGCATGTATTGATAAGTTATACTGATACCTCAAAATATATAATGTTTGTTTGTATTAGTCAAATCCTCTGGATATCACAGACCCATCATTGCACGGAGATCTTTTAGTGACGTAATTCCATAAACTTGCGGTGCTCTGGTCTCAAAAAGATGTCCCCCGGTCAGTTCAGTTCCTTCAATGAACACTTTGCCAAGTTTTTGCTGTCCCCATCTGATAAGTTCATCAATCACCGGTGTTTTTAAACCAACAATCTTTGCCAAACCTTTGACGACAACAAGCCCAAAAGGAACATCTTCAGACAGATAACGATGTTTAAAATCTGGCACATATCCTCCCTTGACTTCTTTCATTGGATGAACCATTCCTTCGTAGGCTTTGTTGGTGACAAGTGCAGTCTTTAAGCTGCATGGGTTTGATATTGCAGACCCATAGCTTTTAACGAGCCACGTGTGCATAGGTAAGCATCCTCGAAAGTCCACGCCAGTCCGTTTTGATATTTCTTTTGCAATCCCCTGAACTTCATCATCCAGATCAGTTACACATTTTGCTTGAAAGTCATCAGTTCCTTGGTAGAAAAGAGGTTTCTCTGATAAGGGAATACCGTCCCAGTATTTCCATCGACCATACATCAGGCCTGGGTGAACCACGGCGAACATAAGGCTATGTTCCAGGAAATGATTTGTTTTGTTAAAAACAGGAGGACTTCCCAATACGGACTGCAATAGCTCTAGGGGGTTGAAGGCACCCTTCGAGGAATCTTGAATGACTGCCACATCCACATAATTCTTTACCCCAATGATTTTAACATTTCGGCCATATTCAACTATCCTACAAGCCCAAGGAAAGGTTGTCGCTGACAGCACACTGACAAACTGGGACTTCGCTTTCAATATGTGACGAGCCTGAAATTCAAATCCAGGTAGTCCGGGAAAGCCTACGATGATTGTTCGGTAGCGTATGTACGGTTCTATGGCTCTTAGATATTCTTCATGTGAAAACGCAGGTACCGTGATCAGGATAATGTTGGCCCCCGGAACAACATCTGCTGGGTTTTTAGAAATCTTGTTTGGCCTCGACCTGATTTCGGATTCGTTTGGTAGTAAACAATACAGCATTCCATTTTCCATGGCTTTGTTCCAGATCTCAGCCTCGTCCTGATATAGTGTCAGTACATTGGTCTCCGTGTTCTCGCGTGAAGATAGGATGCTAGCAAGAACATGCGCACCATTGCCACCTCCACAAATCACGATTTTCTGTACTTTCGATGACATTTCTTCTCTGAAATAACATAAAATGACGTGAGCAGGTACACGTAGTCATTTATTAACAACCAATGACATAATAAAATTTTGATAAGTTTTCTTTCAGTTATTTGGTAAAAACTAGAACAGTATGAAGAGACGATTTTTAAAATAACAACAAATTCCTCGTGAATATATCAAGAAGTCAAACTTTCTCTCAATCAGTAATACATTACGTACGAATACACAATTATGATTCATTTGGTGGAATCGTCGTTAACCTAGATGGCTATGCATGGCAATTTATGCCTTATTGTAGAATCACAACCATTCACGTTATTAGATTAGAAATAAACTACAATTCATTTTAATTGAAATAGAAATATATGGGTATTTAGTAACGTGATATTAGGTTTGATACAACTGTTTGTTGTCTTAGTAAAGCAGGCTACATGGACTATAGAAACATGAACTGGTAACACTAGTGGGTCACGCCACTTCTATGTGTATACATTTATTTGAAATATCAATCAGGAGGTAAGTTAACTGAATTTACTATTTTGTGTTTTAAGAGAGAATAGAAAATTAGATTGATCAAAACGTATTCCAAATACACTGAGTTATAGGACAATAAAATGCACTAATTAAAGTGTAAGTGTATATTTTCTGTAAATAAGATCTCGAACATGTGAAATCTCACCGTTCAGTGTGTGGAGGAGCCCAACAACAGCCGACGGTCGTCAGAGTGAAACAAAACAGGAAAGCAATGGATGTACACTTTTAAAGGGCATACGCTGGCCTTTCCTGATTGAGCATTGTTTAATTCAATTACACGGATCTAACAAGGCCGAAGCGGCTTGCGATAAGAGGTCCGGTAGCTGCACTGCATCTGTTAATGGGTTTTCTTGTTCGACTATTCTACACTACTATTCGAAACTAACCTCCCCTCAGTCGCGATCCTGGCGAAATCATTAAGTGTTGTTTTCAAGGTTCGACGATCTATGGCCAGTGGATCGGGACAGGATCGCGACAGGATCGCGACAGGATGTTATTTCGATCGTGATCTTCAAAGTGATCGAATCAATAGGATCGCGATCGACGGGGCGATAGTTATTATTTGTAAGTAATCGTGACGATACAATTGTAGCTAATCAAGTCATAAGTTTTTATGCCGGCACTATACCTGTGCGCTTTGTGCATTTGTCTCAGTGCATTCGTTTCATTAATTTACCTGACGAAAAATAATATTAGATACTTCTAATAAGTTTTAATTCTTGTTAAACCTTACGGATAAATTGTTTGATAGGCATTACTTAGAAGTTGACGGATGACGAGGTAGACACAATTTTATGGATAACAACTTCTTTAATACTGTAAAAAGCGACGTTTCGGTATAGATCCTTATACCGTTGTCAAGCAAGACTGAATGAGAGACATAGTACAGAATATATATAGTAGTTGGAGGATTAACAGTAATAACAATTGCTTACATGAGTGGGATAACATAGGTAGGTGTTGACAACAAAGGCATAATACTGCCACAACAGGATGGACAGAGAACACATACTGTAGGTGGAAGCCAATGGGACATGACGCCAATTAAACAGGATAAGTAATTACTGCTTGATGAGTTCATAGTAGGCGGATAGGATGAAATAACCTTGATCTCTGTTGATTGATGGTTTGTGGCGGCGAATGTGGACTGCTTCTGTTACTTTTCTTTAAGTGAAATCATGGAGGTTGTTGGAGAGGATTTGGATGTTCAAGTCATCCCTCTTGTCTTACAGTCTTGTGAATTCATTCTGAATCTATAAGCACATAGATCTAAATTTGAAACAGATGAGGCGGTATCAATTCCCTTATTTTGCAAATTTGAAATTCAGGAGCATGCAATCTTGTTTCTGGATTGGTCAAATGTTTCAAAGCAATATGAAGAACTATTCTCTCTTGTCGATACTGTGGGCTCTCACGGTTTGTTGAATGCAATGTGTTAAGCTCAATTTTCTGGTGTCCCCAGCCGTGATATTGCTGGGATATTGCTAAAAGCGGAGTAGAACCATATCCACATAATCCCCTGTTTGCAGACCCGTCCATGAGGAAACGTTGCTGGAGTCGTTTGATTCCTTTGGTCCACATGGCATTGTTGCATATAACAGTCGAATCCAATTATTCTCTGGACATCCTATAAAGTCGACTGCAGTTAAGGTTATTAGATGAATGGTATATTTGTTCTAATATTCTAACTTTCATTCAAAGGAAGGAGTAGTGATTTTCAGAATAGAAATGTTTGCAGACACAATTGGAATTTCTGTTAATGTCCGATCTTTGCTGGCTAACTTGTGTCTTGTTTTGTCTCTTCAACATATACATCAACCCAAAAAGGATACATTCAACGCCATAGACATGACATGACAGGTCTTATGTAGGCTTTATGCAGAAGGTTTAGCTGAAAAGTTAGATTTTAATTCAGGATCAGTTATCAAAATACGACAACTATTGCAACTTTTTGTGCCACATGAGTGAGTGAGTATGGTTTTACGCCGCTTTTAGCAATATTCCAGCAATATCACGGCGGGGGACACAAGAAAAGGGGCTTCACACATTGTACCCATGTCGGGAATCGAACCCGGGTCTTCGGCGTGACGAGCGAACGCTTTAACCACTAGGCTACCCGACCGCCCCTGTGCCACATGAAGAAATACTGCATGGAGTCGGGTTCTAAAGAAATGTGTGCTCCAACTTTACTGAACATTTTTTGATGATGTGAGTAAATTAATCTTTGTTTTTAAAATAGAAGTTGCCTTCATGTTGAATATAGGTTGAGTTTCTGATACCCCGTAGGACCGCCAGAGTATTACTACTAAACCACATGTTGCAGCAGTCCCGTCTGTGTTGGGCAGTTTCACTGTCTTTGCCCAAAGAGCTTTTTCTGTATGTTCAACATTTTTAGTAATATGGTACCAAGGTAATGATGTGTCTCGGGGTCAAAATGACCTCTAGCAGACAAACTGACTTGGGCCATGTAAATAAATATAAGCATTTTTAAATTCATTAAATCGCTTGTATAAGCACGACCAGGAGCATGTGTATGAATCATCAGCTGTTACCAGTTGTTCGCGAAAAACTGTGCGTTTCCTGTCCTGCCAGTGGCACCTGTCACAAACACATGCAAAGGCAGATCATGTTCAACTGACAAAACATCGGAACATAAATTTAACTACAAGTCAAAATAGGGAATTGCATCGGACGTCATTTTTGTCACTGATGCGTCAAAAGATGAAGTGACAGCCTGTCGGCGGCAGTATATTTGTCAGAGGTATGTCGGTTATAGGGAAGATAAACTGAACAAAGTAGGAAATCTGACAGGTAAAAATTATGTGTCAGGGTAAAATGGTAATACCATTAAGGGTAATTTTTTAAAGCTCAAGTAACTGATGACTTTGCTTTTATAACCAAAATGGTCTTTTCGCCCGTTACATGTCTATGGCCTTCTTTCTTCGAAACTTCTTGTATATAATCTTTCCGGTACATTCCAGTAATAATCGAAGTTGATCCAGAAACTCCTCTTCTACGTGTACAATGTGGTGAATTACTTGACCTCCCGTTCCCGTAGGGACCTAGAATCAGAGTAGATCCATACCACCATATTACTGGTAGTGAAAGATGATTATATGTGATCGGGTAGCCAGTTTCTACGAATAAGCTGACACGTTGCTGATCATGCGTTCAGTTATTGGTTGGACTGTCCCAGAATCAATTAATTAGAGGTTGGCGGAATATTAGTGAAGTATATAATGTTAAATAAGGTTGGAGGTGTGGGACAAGAATGAAGCTTATTCACATTGTTACAGGCTTATGCCCGTCAGCTGTGCAGAAATGCAGACCTGTTCAACTACACAAGGTCCTTCACCAAGTGTGGTATCGTGTTACTGTGCAAGATTGTTTTTTTCCAAATGTCACTGGTAAAAGTTTCACCTCAATTCTAGAACTGAGAATAAGTAATTGGACTGAAGTCAACGAAACAATACATGACCTCTGGGTTAAATACGGTAAAAGTTTGCCTACTTCAGCCAGGTACATTGCGCGTGGGTGTCACGTGTGGAAGGTGGCGTGTAGTGTTCACTGACTGTGTTGAATCATTCGAGGTCTTCACTTTTTTCATTACACAGGCGAGCAGATTTTACATCTTGCTAAATATTGGCTCAAGAATTTGAGCTCACAAAGCATTGGAGTTTTTCGCCGATGAGCAAAGTTGAGCCGTATGGCAGATCCTTTTATCTGAGTGATGTGTGGGAAGTTGCTGGTAAAGTTACAGTGGGGACCAAAAACTAAGCCAAGGAAAACGGAAGAAAAAGCAGTCACAGATGAAGATTAATTTAAGATAAGTATAGATGGTTATAATTTGAAACACTTCTGTATAACAACAATAACAAAACTTCCAAGTTGTATCATGTTTACTTTGGTCACAATTTTATATGGAATTGTATATATCAGGTAACGGATTAAAACGGACGTGGTTTTGACAGATTCGTGGCTTGACTTGAAGGAATGTTTACGCGTTTCATGAGTGTATTTATTTGTGATTGTTAATAAACCCGCTCGTTTGTCAGCTGCGGTGGGCAAAACCCTTGAGATGCGTATGTTGTGCATAAATAGTGATTACTCTACAACAGACCCAATTTGGGTTCTACACTCTATTTGTCAGAAATATCTAAATGAAATACTACAAGTGCTATTCTTGACTTTAAGAAAGAGTTCGATTAGATTGATTGGAATACGTTATTCATTCGGCCTGCTAAACAGGGGGATTCATGGCAAAATATATATTATACTTAAGAATATGTATGAAAATGTCAAAGCTATTGTGAGAGTGGGAAATATGTCCATGTGTCTTCTCAGTGAAGGTGTAATGACGACAAATGTCTGTTAGACTTCGTCAGGGGACTTAGCGGACCAGTCCAATATCATGATGCCTTCTCGTCGTAGATAATCGGTTACGATCTGCACGATGTGGTCTGGCATTGCCATTTTGCAGTCCACATTTTCTGCCGATAATTCTAGCGAATGGACGCAAATTGTCGTCAACATATTGCTAGCCAGCTAAATGTTCATTCACAATAACCAAATCAGCTGTTACAGTGGTTTATAAGTGAAAAGTAAATGGTTTAATTATAAGCATTGCTTTATAACTAACTGCGATAAAATGCATTGTCTGGCTGTACAATGTCAACCTATTCCTTAGTGAGTAAGTGAGTACGTTTGGTTTAACGCAGCTTTGAACACTATATCAGATATATCATGGCGAGTTAGCTTGATGTGTGAAGAAAGCCCGACAGTTACCGTTACGGCGCTGACAAAACAAGAAAACCAGTCAAGGCGACCCTGGGATTCAAACCAACGACAGCAGCTTTCTAATTAGCTGATTAGACCACTGGTCCACCCAAGTCTTAGGTTTATTTTGCTGTTGAAAATACTAATTCGATGACGTGTTTGTTTCTCATATACCAAATTAAACATGCATTTCTATAACAAATCCAGGTATGCAACACATATGTACAACAAAATCTTTCAGTGTTCATTGGTTTTATGTCATTGACAAAGAAGTGCCATCTGAAAAGGAAAGAAAATCTTCGGTAAAACAGTAACAATGATGTATGTACAGCTTTATAATGAAACAAGAGGATATATTGGGTCTAGTTTGCTTTGAACGTTTTCATCTTGTTATATATCCCATGAATGTTAAAGTTGATGTTACATTGCGTTAAGTTATGTTCAAGAAACGTACATTAGAAATCGAAGCAGTGAGAAACAACCTTACCTTGTCAGTTCCTTTATTGAGGAGGTGGTGGCCTATCTTCGGGACCTGTGGATGCTTCACCCTTTTGTTCTCCGGTGCCTTCTTTTTCTTGACCTTCGGAACCTTCGGGACCTCTGGGACCTCTGGGACCACTGGGACCTCCGGGACCTCTGGGGCCTCTGGGGCCTCTGGGGCCGCTGGGACCTCTGGGGCCTCCCGGGCCTTCTCTTTCTCGTCCTCTGCTGCCTTCTTGACCTTCGGGACGTTCGGGACCTTCGGGACCTTCGGGACCTCCCGGGCCTTCTCTTCTTGGATTGTCTGGACCTCCGGGGCCTTCCTTTTCTTGACCTTCGGAACCTTTGGGACCCTCGGGACCCTCGAAACCTCCGAGACCTCCAGGGCCTTCCTTTTCTTGTCCTCCGGGGCCTTCCTTTTCTTGACCTCCGGGACCCCCGGGACCTCCGGGGCCTTCTGTTGATGGTGCTTGTCTGCGTGATCGTGACTGTTCTTGACCTTCTGGACCTCCGGGACCTCCAGGGCCTTCATTTTCTTGACCTCCGGGACCTCTGGGACCCTCGGGACCTCCAGGGCCTTCTGTTGGTGGTGTTTGTCTGCGAGGTGGTGATTGTTCTTGACCTCCGGGACCTCCGAGACCTTCTCTTTCTTGTCCTTCCGGGCCTTCTGTTTCTGGACCTTTGGGACCTCAGGGGCCTTTTCTTCCCAGACTTTCTCTGGGACCACTGGGACCTCCGGGGCCTTCTGTTGGTGGTGCTTGTCTGCGTGGTCGTGGCTGTTCTTGACCTTCTGGACCTCCGGGACCTCCAGGGCCTTCATTTTCTTGACCTCCGGGACCTCTGGGACCCTCGGGACCTCCAGGGCCTTCTGTTGGTGGTGTTTGTCTGCGTGGTGGTGATTGATCTTGACCTCCGGGACCTCCGAGACCTTCTCTTTCTTGTCCTTCTGGGCCTTCTGTTTCTGGACCTTTGGGACATCCGGGGCCTTTTCTTCCCTGACTTTCTCTGGGACCACTGGGACTTCCGGGACCTCTGGGGCCTCTGGGGCCTCTGGGGCCTCTGGGACCTACCGGGCCTTCTCTTTCTCGTCCTCTGCTGCCTTCTTGGCCTTCGCGACGTTCGGGACCTTCGGGACCTCCCGGGCCTTCTCATCCTGGATTTTCTGGACCTCCGGGACCCCCGGGACCTCAGGGACCTCCGGGGCCTTCTGTTGGTGGTGCTTGTCTGCGTGGTCGTGACTGTTCTTGACCTTCTGGACCTCCGGGACATCCAGGGCCTTCTGTTGGTGGTGCTTGTCTGCATGGTGGTAATTGTTCTTGACCTCCGGGACCTCCGGGACCTCCGGGACTTTCTCTTTCTTGTCCTCCCGGGCCTTCTGTTTCTGGACCTTTGGGACCTCCGGAGCCTTTTCAACCCTGACCTTCTCTGGGACCACTGGGACCTCCGGGACCTCTGGGGCCTCTGGGGCCTCTGGGGCCTACCGGGCCTTCTCTGTCTTGTCCTCTGCTGCCTTCTTGGCCTTCGCGACGTTCGGGACCTTCGGGACCTCCCGTGCCTTCTCTTCCTGGATTTTCTGGACCTCCGGGGCCTTCCTTTTCTTGACCTTCGGGACCTTCGGGACCTCCCAGGCCTTCTCTTCATGGATTTTCTGGACCTTCGGGACCTCCCGGGCCTTCTCTTCCTGGATTTTCTGGACCTCCGGGGCCTTCCTTTTCTTGACCTTCGGGACCTTTGGGACCCTCGGGACCCTGGGAACCTCCGGGACCCCCAGGGCCTTCATTTTCTTGTCCTCCGGGGCCTTCCTTTTCTTGACCTCCGGGACCCCCGGGACCTTCGGGACCCCCAGGACCTCCGAGGCCTTCTGTTGGTGGTGCTTGTCTGCGTGGTCGTGATTTGTTTTTGACCTTCTGGACCTCCGGAACCTCCAGGGCCTTCATTTTCTTCACCTCGAACTCGAACTCGAAGCAGTGAGAAACAAGCTAACCTTGTCAGTTCCTTTGTTGATGAGGTGGTGGCTTATCTTCGGGACCTCCGGGACCTTCTCTTTCTTGTCCTCCCGGGCCTTCTGTTTCTGGACCTTCGGGACCTCCGGGGCTTTTTCTTCTTTGACCTTTTGGACATCGGGGGCCTTCATTTTCTTGTCCTCTGGGGCCTTCCCTTTCTTGACCTCCGGGACCTCCGGGGCCTTCTGTTGGTGGTGCTTGTCTGCGTGGTGGTGATTGTTCTTGACCTCCAGGACCTCCGGGACCTTCTCTTTCTCGTCCTTTGCTGCATTCTTGGCCTTCGCGACGTTCGGGACCTTCGGGACCTTCGGGACCTCCCGGGCCTCCTCTTTCTGGATTTTCCGGACATCCGGGGCCTTCGTTTTCTTGACCTCCGGGACCCCCGGGACCTCCGGGACCTCCGGGGCCTTCTGTTGGTGGTGCTTGTCTGCGTGGTCGTGATTTGTTTTTGTCCTACTGGACCTCCGGGACCTTCAGGGCCTTCATTTTCTTGTTCTCCGGGGCCTTCCTTTTCTTGACCTCCGGGACCCCCGGGACCTCCGGGACCCCCGGGACCTCTGGGACCTCCGGGACCTCCGGGACCTCCGGGACCTCCGGGACCTCCGGGGCCTTCTGTTGGTTGTGCTTGTCTGCGTGGTCGTGATTGTTCTTGACCTTCTGGACTTCCAGGACCTCCAGGGCCTTCATTTTCTTGACCTCCGGGACATCCGAGAACTCCGGGACCTCCAGGATCTTCTGTTGGCGGTGCTTTTCTGCGTGGTCGTGCTTGTTTTTGACCTTCTGGACCTCCGTGACCTCCAGGGCCTTCATTTTCTTGACCTCCGGGACCTCCGGGAACTCCGGGACCTCCAAGGCCTTATGTTGGTGGTGCTTTGCTGCGTGGTGGTGATTGTTCTTGACCTCCGGGACCTTCGGGACCTCCGGGACCTTCTGTTGGTGGTGCTTGTCTGCGTGGTCGTGATTGTTCTTGACCTTCTGGACCTCCAGGACCTCCAGGACCTCCAGGGCCTTCATTTTCTTGACCTCCGGGACATCCGAGAACTCCGGGACCTCCGGGGCCTTCTGTTGGTAGTGCTTGTCTGCGTGGTCGTGATTGTTTTTGACCTTCTGGACCTCCGTGACCTCCAGGGCCTTCATTTTCTTGACCTCCGGGACCTCCGGGAACTTCGGGACCTCCAGGGCCTTATGTTGGTGGTGCTTTGTTGCGTGGTGGTGATTGTTCTTGACCTCCGGGACCTCCGGGACCTTCTCTTTCTTGAACTCCCGGGCCTTCTATTTCTGGACCTTCGGGACCTCCGGGACCTCCGGGACCTCCGGGACCTCTTCTCCCCTGACCTTCTGGACATCTTGGGCCTTCATTTTCTTGTCCTCCGGGGCCTTCCTTTTCTTGACCTTCGGGACCTCCGGGGCCTTCTGTTGGTGGTGCTTGTCTGCGTGGTTGTGATTGTTCTTGACCTCCGGGACCTCCGGGGCCTTCTCTTTCTTGTCCTACGGGGCCTTCTCTTTCTTGACCTTCGGGACCTCCGGGGCCTCCGGGGCCTTTTCTTCCCTGACTTTCTTGTCCTCCGAGGCTTTCATTTTCTTGACATTCGGAACGTTCGGGACCATCCCCAAGAGGATAGCACCAACATGTGGCAACACAGGAGAGCGCCACTAGTACCAGGAAAGTCTTCATGTTGAGAGTGATGCTCATGTTTCGACACAGCACAACTTATATACACTTCCAGTCCTACACCAGATGGCTCCTCATTACATCGCAGTAATTACTACTTGGAACTGTGTTATTCTTTGCATTGTCATCGAGATAAGTTTGCTAATTAAAACGTGACTTACCGGTTAAAGATATGTATTGCTCATTGTGTAGATAATTATCCTTAACTGGACAAAGACCGAACTGGACATATGCTATGATTAGCATGTTAGACTGCAGATAGGACTTCGGTGATTAAAGCGTCACGTTTCAATCGACGTGTAATTTTCTTATTACATAACCTAATGTGCACCTGTGAAATAAGAAATTAATAAAATAAAAACTTGTTGAAAATATTGTATACAAACGAGACATATTCTAAATTACATATCATGGATTTAAACAGATGGTGCTGTGAGTGAATGGAGCTTGTGGGTGGCTTTTTCTGCTTATGGTCATTTAAAAAGGCATATTTCATTACATACTCGAAAAAATTACTTCTAACATTTCAAATCTGTCCTATTCTTAAGGCAAATTCACAAAATACCATACAGGGGCGGTCGGGTAGCCTAGTGGTTAAAGCGTTCGCTCGTCACGCCGAAGACCCGGGTTCGATTCCCGACATGGGTACAATGTGTGAAGCCCATTTCTGGTGTCCCCCGCCGTGATATTGCTGGAATATTGCTAAAAGCGGCGTAAAACCATACTCACTCACTCACTCACTCACTCACTCACAAAATACCATACAGTGTACGACTGCCAATGCCCGAGTGCAAGTATGGCAGGGTAAGAAATTGGAAACTTGTGGTTTGTAAAGACTTACTGGAGAAGAAACAGGTTATTTTGAATTTTGTAGAGGCAACGTAGACAATTTCGGCGGTTACAGTTTGTACAAACCCCATCAGATGCAACATTGACCTCATTCTATGATCAACAGAGTCGATCAAGTATCATTAGTGGTCATTATAAAAAAAGTCGACAAAAGACGTTCCTTAAACATAAGAAATCTCTACTAAAAACTAAAAGCAGAGTCGATCCAGACCACATCATGAGCATGTGTTTATGAATCACTACAGTGATCACATCAGGTTTTCGAAAAGGTGTACGGGTCCGGCCACACCCACAAACACGTGCAAAGGCAAGTCAGATGTTCACTTGAATTGTATTGTGTAACTAATGCGTCACATTTGGAAATGTCCTGATGTCTACCATAAAATCATTTGAAAGCTTATCTGAGACCATGAATGTTGTAACCCTGATCAAAGAACTTTTAAGTCATATGACGGTCTTTGAAATCTTCATAAAAATAGCATGCTCGATTGTTCCTAAAAAATTGTGATACACAATTTTCGTAGATTTGTCATTGACTTTGATTCTGTTAGCAGAAATAAATTATGGTCATGTTTCAAAGCACATGTTCTTAGCAGATAAATTGGAATGTTAATGTGCTGTATGTATCAGAATGTAAAGGTGTGTGTACGAAGAAACGGTACTGTGTCTGACACATTTGAAAGCAAAATTGGCGTTAAGCAAGGTGCATTTTAAATCCGTTTTTGTTCTCCTTCTTTATCAATGAATTAGCTCAACAAATTCAGCAGAACTGTTCTGATGGCATCCAAGTTATTTCTTCTTTTGTTTGGCGATGATATAGTAATGTTTTCAAGCACAATACCTTGACTACAAAAGCAAATTAATCAGCTGGAATGTTTCACTAAACTACAAACAGGCCACACTAAGTTAAACTCCCACCTACACCAAATTAAAAAAACACCAAACCGGTAAATGCCCCCACTGCAACTTAAAAGAAACGTCTGAACACGTAATACTATACTTCACACATTACCAGCAACACAGAACAACGCTCTAATCCACAGTAAATTGCAACAATCAAATGACACTAGCAACGGTACTAAACCCCTAAATGACTTACAAACTTTTAAAGCACTAGGCATATATCTAATCAAAACAGGCCTACATGGTCGCATTTAAAAATAAAAGTTCAACATACAAGCTGCCGTCTAAACCTTTAAAAACACATAAACTCCTTTTAAACCCCCCCCCCCCCCCCCCCCCCCCCCCTCCAAACAGATTGTTATGGAAGATGCATGCAAACCAAGCTGCTGTACAAGCAAAGTAGATCGTAAATGGAGTTCTTCAGCATATGAAAGTTCTTGGAAATATATCCTATGATACATTCTTTAAAATTTTCGATACAAAAATATGCCTGTTTTTTCGAGCAGAGGTTTGGGGATTAGAAATGATTGAAGTTATAGAAAAACTATCTTTATATGCATGCAAAAGATTCCTTGGTGTGAAACCTAGTACGTCTAATCTAATGGAGAATGTGGACGATAAAATACTGGATTAAATTAGTTAAAATGCCTGTAACAAGATACTAGTATCCAAAGAAATGTTATAACTGTTATTAATCTATGATCAACAAGGACACACTAACTGGGCATCTTCCGTCAAGCATCAACTTTATTTATGTGGTTATGGTAATATATGGACAGAACAGGATAGGTATATGTCAGATCATTACATAGATGCTTTTACTCGAGCTCAGACCCTGAAACATACATGTATGTACATTCAAAATTGGCATTTTTCCTTATCAGTATCCAAAAAACTATCAAGTTATTCCCTCCTTAAAACAATTTCTTTGGAGAGCAATACTTATTAGATGTGACACTAAAAACATTTCGAATTGCACTTGCAAGATTCAGATGTGGTTCACACGAACTCTTTATCGAGACGGGAAGATATATGGGGATCGTGAGAGAACACAGAATTTGTCAGTTTTGTGATTTAAACAGTGTAGAAAGTGAATACCATATCTTACTTTTTTGTTCGTTGAATGCTGAACTCAGAAAATAGTTCATTGATAAATATTGTATCCGTTATCCAAGTTTACAGAAATTTGTTACATTAATGTCAAGTAAGAATTTAGTAATAACGAAAAAGCTGTCAATGTACATATTGCATGCCATGAAGTTAAGAAGCTCCAAATGCGTTACCTTATAAATGTAAATACACCCATTACTATATAACATGTACGGTTACTATAGACATATGGTCTCTCAGTATTATGAATAAACATATAAAGATTAACTATGATCGGGTAAACAAACGGGGATTCTAACACACAATCATAGGTTTCTGGCATGTCCAAGGGACAGAACTCTGCACAGCGATAAACTATGATCGGGTAAACGATGTTATATGGTTATTTTTAAACATTTCAGTTACTGGTTGGCCTGTTCCAGACTCAATTACAGTAAATTACGGTTATAACGAACTCAAAGGGACTACTAATTTAGTTCGTTATAACCGTAATTCGTTATAAGCATATATACAGAATAACTACAGCAACTACTAACTTAGTCGGGACTAAAAACATAGTTCGTTATATCCGTTAGTTCGTTATAAGCGTATTCGTTATAACCGTAGTTCACTGTAATTTCAGGCAGACTGATATTGTATAATGTTGAGCAATAGTTTCCCGTGAACGCTGGAAATCATCAGTAATTGAAATGTTGGTGGTTGGTGCATATATGGAGGCTGTATATACGTGTATAATGATGTGAAGCAACCACGTCAGCCATGTTCAAATATAATGAGGTGTTTTGAAACACCTAGCGAGGGGATCCACTTTGCTGTGTCCTGACCGTTTCTACAGACATTTGTGCACGCTGTTAATCCAGACTTTATCGACGCAGTGCATTAAACTGCTTCCAGTTATTAACTTAAGAGTCGCTTTAAAAGTTGTTTGATAACGGTTACAACATGCAAGGTCTATGTAAAGCTTTCAGTCGGTTTTATGGTACACATGTAGACATTTCTAAAATTGATGTCCGATGCAATTCTCTATTTTGACTTGTATCGTATGTTCCCGTGGTTTTTCAGGTGACCTGCCTTTGCATGTGTTTGTGACGGGTGCCACCAGTGGGGCAGGATATGCTCATCTTTTTGTGAACACCTGGTATCATCACTAATTGATAATGATTCTTAAACATATGCTCGAGATATGGTTGGAAACGGACAATCGACACTGCTTTTGGCAGATATTTCTGATGAATATAGAAAGGGTTTTGCCGCTTTTAATTAAATTTAGAATAACGTAAAGTAATTCAGGTCTTAGACGTCCATCACTTTGGTGAAACCCACGATCAGGGTATGGTGCTGTCAAACCAAGAAAAAAAATCGGGGTGAATCTGGATATGAACCCACAATCATAGGTTCCTGGCGTAGCTAAGGGTCGCTACTCTGAATAACAAATTTGCAGCGCCTTAGACAACTGGACCACCCGTGCCCCAAAACCTCGATCTGAAGAGACTACGTTGCCGTAGAAACATGAACAATCAAGAAAACTAAGACACTAATTATTTGTTATCATGTTTCACAACACGAACAATAACACATTAATCTACCATAACCCCTAAATTTGCAGTTCTTCGGGACAAATAAGAAGTAGATTAGCCTTGACAAAATTAACAGCCATCCCATAATGTTCCCCATCCAAACTCATCATGTCATCCTCCGGGTTCTGTTCTGAAACTGCGGACGTTCCATCTGCTTAGAGACACTTCCATCTCTGCATTGAAAGCTTCAACGCTTCCACAGACTTGGGCGAGCACTGTAGGTGACTTCCGAGTTCCGAGCATGACGTTCAGACTCAGGTAGCCAGTGTTGGTTTCTTCTCTCCATCGACGTCAGTAAAGGCTTCAGATACCTATCGCTGACGAAAGGTTTCGAGAAAAGTAATATCTCATGGAGGTCAATGTGGTCCCATTACAGCCTGTGTATTTCTATCTGAGATTAAGCCTTCAGAATGTCTCTGTTTATCATTATTATCATGTAGCGAAACACACGAGCACAGGTATGGTGTTGACAAACCTAGATATTTAATCAGGGTTTACCGGGATTCGGACCCAGAAAGAAAGGTTTTTGCCAATGGCCGTAACTCTGCACCGTGGTCTGTGGCGCCTCAGACGACAGGGCCA